TAAAGGTTTACAATCTCTTTTTCGTGTTTATTTCTAGAAAATAATTGACATGTGTCGGAAAATTTTCAAGAGGCATGTTAATAACCTTCCTTAACAAACTATTCAAACAAAACACGAAATTAAAAATATTTCCATGATTTTTGTTTTATTTCGATAACAAAACAGAATAATTTAGTCGTTCTTTAGATCAGTTTGTGAGAGACCATCGATGAAATAAAACGTAGTAGTAAAAAATTAAACTTTTATAAGAAAGAAACATATTTGATATGTGCTACGAAATTCAAAGTTTATGTTTTTTTGTTAAATAATTTGTTTGTTTTTTGCGAAAAAATATTAAGCTTCCAAACTAATTGTGCTATAAAAACTGAATATTAATAATATTAAATACTACAAATTATTTTAATAATAATATCATTAGAAACTATTTTAAGTATAAATAATGTAATTAAACATTGAAGTTTCGTTTTGTGTTGATTTTTTTTTAAAACTGATAGAAATTGAGTGACTTTTTACATTTTATCAGATAATGTTTAATATAATAATAAATAATAGCGAATAAATTTAATCTAATAATGAATAATATTATATTTTTAATAATATTAATGTAATATTTTTTCCAATTCGTTTTAGACATTCTAATAAGTACTACTAAAAATTTTCTGATGTTTCATATGAAATAGGTATTAAATATTATTAATAAATTAATATTAAAAACAAAACATATTTTTGAGATAAAAGTGAAAGTTTTGCGATTCGCCTAAAATTATGTATATAAAATAATATAAAAAAACAGAAATGTTTTATCGAAATTTTATGAATAAAAAATTATAAAGCATATTAAAAAATTAATTACAATCTATATGATTTGGAAATAAATATTATTTCAGAAATAATATATATTTTACCATAGAGTTTCCAATATCAACTTAATTTTTATTAATTTAAGAAAAAGTTAACGCAAATTTAAACTCTATTTGTTCCTTTTATTATTCTAGAAATAGTTAATAGTTATATAAATTATTCTCATAATTTATAATAATTTAAGTAATAAATTTTGAATCCTAATTGTTCTAAGTGTGTGTGTAAATAATGGAATAATAAAAATTAAAATTTAACAATTTCTTAAAATAGTTAAGGTAAAATCTTAATTATTTATTAGTTCTTAGATAACTAGCTTATTATTAATTATTAATTTTGAACATAAATATATATATGTATATATATATATATATATATATATATATATAGTATATAAAATAATTATCAAAACGAAAAACATAAAACAAAATGCCTGATTTTATCTGCCTTATTAAAATTATATTAATTTTATAGCTTACAATTACAGCATCAGGACTAGATTGTGGCCAAATCAAAAATCTTTTCTGTCTACTAAGAACATCAGAAGAAACTTCTACACAAATCACAGAATTTTTAGAAATCAAAACCGCTAAAAGAATTGTTATAAATTTACTCAAATCGCACCACATAATTGTAAAAAAATTAATTATTTAATAAATAAATAATTACAATTAGTTTTAGTATATCAAACCTTCTACAGTTTTCAGGATTGAATGTAAGGTGAAGAATTTTCTTGCATAAACAAGAGAACTGTTATATTTATTTAACATACGTTTTTTTTATTTTGCTTGAATTCAGGGTTTAAATTTAAATTTGTTATAATAAGCTGATAAAATATTTTAAAACTAGAAATAACTTCTACATTATTTATCGTATGTCATTTAACTTATTATATTGTCTTTCGATTTATTAAATGTTCACTAGGGACAGTTAAAAATTATATGTGATAAATAATAAAAAAAGATTATTTAATGCTAAAATAATACCCCCACATATTTAACTATATTTTCTAGTAATCTTCAAGAATATTTCACATAAGACATAGTCTTCAATATTATTAATATTTTTACGTAAACCCAACAGTAAGTAATTTTTCTCTTAAATAAAAATTCTAAGAACATTTATATTTTTACACCTGTCAAATTGAATTATATAATTTCATCTGCCAAACAAATACTTTATCTCATATTATTTTAATTTCTGGCACATCTCAGCTGCTTTTCGGCAATAATAATATAGACATTTCATTTTTCTTATTCATAATCATGAATTTATTATATTCTAATTTTACTTGGGCTCATATTTTAACCAAAATTCAAATTTCTAGTCAATCAACGTGTCTGGCAGATGACAGTTTTCATTTGTCAAAACGTTTTCGATGTCATATAATGATAAGTAGCTTTTGCAATTTTTTCCATTTATTTCTACAATATTGCTATAGTTTGTAATTCATCACATCTCAACAAGAGTCCTTAACATACTCCAAAAAGATTTATCAAAGTTCGAATAACCGTTCAGGAGGAGTTTGAATTCATACATCCGTACAAAAAAAAATTATATGATATATATAATAGGTTGTCAAATATCTCCCTTCCGCCTTTTTGTATTATAAACCAGGAGCAAAAAAGCGGAAGGGAGATATTTGACAACCTAATATATATATATATATATATATATATATATATATATATATATATATATATAGCTGTTTATCAGGCGTGTTTAATATTTTTTTGCCAGCAAACGAGAAGTCATTTTTAGATTACTTTTCGTTAAGTAATTCATGAAGAAATTTCAAAAAATAATTAAATATCGTGAGTGACTGTTTATGGCTGGACCTGCCTTCGCCAAAAACTAATCAGCACGTCTCCCTATCAGTGTGCATCTATTTTTTTAATCATTCTAATCGGTTGATTCGTGCTTTCGAAAACGTCGACAAAACTGTATCCGCAAATCTATTTTTTCTTATAGTATGCCAATATGTTCAGAAACCTATGAAACGTAAAAATATGCAAAAATGTTCAATTTAGATTTTTGGACAAATACTAGAACTTACCCTACGGGAAGTTAATAAATTTAATAAATTGACTGTAAATTTATAATTCTCAACCTTTGTCAAATCCACTTTTAAAATAAATCGAGTCGTTACGGATCCATTTATTTAAACTAGCAATTAACGCTCTAATTATTTAAACAAATAAATTGTAAACGGTTAAGACATCATCATCGTTGTTCAGGATTAACAGTTAACTATCGACTGATGGATAAGAATAACTAAAAAATAGAATTATTGAAAAAAATTAAAATTAAACGTGATATAAATAATTTTTAATTAAAATTAAATGTGCATAAAATTGTTTCACAATGATAGTAAGGTAAGCTTAATAAATTTATATCAAATAATATAATTAATAATAAATTTGTAAATTGTAAATATTTAGTAATTTCAAAATGTACACTTGAAATGAGATCGATGATGATTTTACAATTATAATTTAGAAATAAATTTTACAAAAAAAAAATTTTTGTTTTAAAAAATAAGCATAATTATGTATTAAATTCGAATATCAAATATATGTTAAATCTCTAATTCTAAAACAGATTTTTCAAGAAAAAACTAATGATTTATATTTTTATGCTTTTAAATTTAATATTTATAATAATGGCGCCTGATTATAAAAATGACTTAATACAATAAATTTTAATATCTAATTCGTTTTTTTTTCTAGATTATTGAACGTTTTAATATTGATATTGCTCAATATGGAAGTTATGGGAAATTCTCCAAATCACAACAGAATGGGAAAATATCTAACATTTCCACCTGGTGACAAAATTACTACTCCACAATTTGCAGTGAGTTAATTTATATGTTATAAGTATTATAATATTTAACTAATAGAACATCTTCAAAAATATATTTAACTTCCCGTAGGGTAAGTTATAGTAATCGCAAAAAATCGAAAATGAAATTTTTTTATATATCTTTACGTTACAGAGGTTTCTGAACATTTTGGCACACCTTAGAAAAAATGGATTTATGTGTGTGTGTGTGTACGTGTGTATATGTCTGTTCGGATACAAATTTTCGTCGACGATTTCGGGAACACGGATGAAGCAATTTGAATAACTCAAAAAACATTCGATTCGTATTGATAAGGAGACGTGCTAATTAGTTTTTGGCGAAGGCAGGTCTAGCCGTTCCGAAGATACGGGGCAAAAAGTGCCGAAAACGGTAACTCAGTTTTTAGGAGAACGGAGCGTCCGATTCGAATACAATTTTTTAAAAAAAGTAAATTTTTGTCAAATGTTCTCAAAAATCTAATTTTTCAGAGTAATTTGCCTTAAGGCACGATGCCATGCGTCCCACTAGTTTTTACTAATTTGAATAATTCCTATCAACCCTTTATCTATCTCTGACAATAATTTTAGTCATCTGATAAAAAGTAATCTGGTAATAACCCACAATTTGTTTGACTGATGATTATTTTTTTTTAACTAAATTCGATATTTGTGTAATATCAGTATCTTTGAGAATATAGTTGTAACTACATATCACCATACATACTATAACTGAGATATAAAATTTTCTATCAAGACTATCTCTAATAGAATGTAACAATCTCAAAATTTCAATTTAAAAATTAGAATATATTGGCATTAACTTTTTCTTTTTGCTATAATGGAATAATGAAAGCTTTTAATTTTTTTTTTTTAGTTTTTTGTAGCCATCGCCCTACCTTTGGCCAACCGTCAGGACATTTTCTTATCCTACAACTACGAATTCAACTACGATTTACCAGAAAATCACACCGAAATTTGGGAAGACGTCCCTACCACATGGGCGGTTAGTATAAAATACACGTTAGATAAACGAAAAAAATTAAAATCTAGTTTCACCAATTTTATACAATAGGAATTAGTGAGATAATAAAAAGGGATGCCACTTCCATCAAACCTGATACTTCTTATTGGAAACCCAACTAGTTCCAATTTGTAACTATGGGCTTTCAATCAGAAGTTCTAAATTCTATAGTAGTGGAATCAGTTTTAATTTGTCCAATTTATAAAAAATTTAAATTAAAATTGTATCTAACTTTTTTTCCCAGATTGAGGACCCTCCAGACCACCAAGACTTCTTAGAACGCAGAAGAAGAAGTCTGAATCGCACTACCGCCTATCACACCATACAGAAACATTTCGAACAGTAAGGAATGAAATGATAATAATACTATATAATATACTAAATATAATGAATGATTATTATTTATAATGATAATTAATAAATATTTTGTAATCCAGTGTCGGACTGGAGGGCAAACACTGTTTGCTGAGGACGATTTGCGAGGCCGCCGAAATGCCATTACATCATAATGGATTAATTGGAGATTTGTTTCATATATTTTTACTGTGAGTATTATTTATTAAAGTAATATATATATATATATATATATATATATATACATATATATAATAGGTTGTCAAATATCTCCCTTCCGCCTTTTTGTATTATAAACCAGAAGCAAAAAAGCGGAAGGGAGATATTTGACAACCTAATATATAAGGATTAGATTTTTTTGTTCAACGTTGAGACATATCTTGAATATTGATTTTCAGCCAATCATCGAAATAAAAGAAAACAAATAAATAATAATATTTATTTATAATATATGTTTCGACACGGATCGTGTGCCATTCAGCAATTTTTGTTAATCAGTATCACACCGATAATCCTTAGATATATAAAATAAATATAGAAAATAAACATATCAAGTGAACATGTTTTGTTTTTCATTTTAAAATAGAAACAATTTATTTATTTTCTATACTTATTTTATATATATAAGGTTTGTATGGTTTATTTTCTATAGATGTAATTAACAAAAACATATTTTTCTCTGATACTGATTAACAAAATTTGCTGAATGATGACACACAATCCGTGTCGAAACGTATATTATAAATAAATATTATTATTTATTTGTTTTCGTTTATTTTGACGATTGGCTGATAATCAATATTCAAGATAATAATAATTTTTTTTTGGAAAACTAATGCATATTTTCTCAAATTTGTTTTTTTATTTGAAAGTACAATCCTTTCAGTTAATGATGAAATTAATTCAGTTAATAATGATTATAAAAAATTCATTCAAAAATGAAAAAAAATCCTCGGCTGACCTTTGAAAAAAAATGAAAATGAGAAATGTTAGATGGCATACCCTATATATATAAATATAAATATATATATATATATATATATATATATATATATATATATATTAGGGTGGTCCTTAAAATGGTCGTTTTCGAATTTCCTTGCTCCAAGGGGCTCAAATGGTTCCAAATAGATGAAAAACAATTCTCTGAAAGTTTTAGCTCTTAATATTAACGTTTAGATAGAGGGCAATTCAATCAAAGTTTTGTATGGAAATAGCATGGAAAAATTTTCAAAAATTTTAAAAATGTTTTTTAGATGTAATTTAGCGAACAAATAAATGAATAAAACTCATTTATTTGTCGCTAAGTTATACCTAAAACATGTTTAAAACCAAAAACGCATATAATATAGAAATTAATCACTTACCCATTTATTCATGTCTATTATCCACTTCAACAATCACTTTTACTCCCTTTTTCACAAAAATTTAATATTTTTCATTTTTGATTTCCAAAACATTTTATGTAATTATGTAATCTTCTATGCAAGTCTATCAAATGCATTTTTAGGGTTGCATCGTGTTGCATTTGCATTTGGTGTTGTATGATGCTAAAAAGCTGTTGAGATTTGAATTGAGATAAATAATAAAATATTGTGTATATATATATATATATATATATATATATATATATATATATTTAAAATAGTATACTCACATTCGCTAAAATTGAGAATAGGCTGCCATTTCTTTTTTTTTTCATATAAGTGATAGGGGCTATCCACCTGGACATTTTTTTCTTATTTTTCGCGGCTATTATTTTCATTTAATTATTTTATAAAGCACAATAAAAAATATATGAAATCCTAAATTGTCACCCTGCTATATTGTTTGAATCATGCTTGATAACGTATCTTAGTCTTTTTGTAAATGTTTTTCAGTTTGCTTCGATTATAATTTTTCTGGGATGAAATTTTTTTGTAATTTTTTTTTATTGAAATACCAAAAATTTACCTCAAGTTACCAGTGATAGATTGTTTTAATTGCGATTTTTCTAAATCTAGACGTTATTCAAACATACCGGGCTTCGAATCCTTTGAATAACAACTGAGACTAAGGATAAGAACAAAGCTGATATCCTTTTTATTACAATCATGCATCAAATTTAGTAATGTACAATTCAATCAAATTTTTACTAACAATCCGTCATTTTATCCCTGAAATTCCCTGGAAATAACTTATGTGACAGAATTAAAAAAATCTAGATCAGCCAGTTTTTTAATATCTTATATCATGACCTTATACTACATGAACTGTTAGTCGAGCGCAAAATAAGTGCTCAAACATAGAAGGGTATGTGACATAACATGTCTGAGCGAACATTGCCGACGACAGTCGTGGACTCTCCCGATTGATCAAATGTCATATGTCATATGTTTTATTTCAATAACATAATGGTAATAGTGTTGGCTGATTCATTTGTAAGAAATTATATCAATAATATTATTAATGTACATAAAATCGAATCCACCTGTTAAAATCGATTTATATATAATAAGGCCTATGTTAGGCACGTAACATATGACATATTACATTTTATCAATCGGTAGAGAGTCTGCGATTGTCGTCGGCAACGTTCGCTCAGACATGGACGTCACATACCCAACTATGCGTGGGCCGGAAAACATAAGAGGACTAGCCATGTAGTGCAATGTCTATTTTTTATATTAATTTGTCTATTTTTTATTAATAGTCCTTCGACGAGCAAAGACGAAGGCCTGCCGAAGTCTTACGCCGAAGCCGAAGCTGCAGGAAACAAAGGCGACTGCAATTTTTACAAAAATAAATGCGATTTTGGACTTTTGGATTTAGTCAGTCAAGTCTTCTAAAAAAAAACAATGAAAAAATAAAAGAATAAATGAAAGAAAACCAAACAGATCGCAAACGCGGTCACTTTGCCATTACTTCAATTTTAATTGCTTTCCCGCTCCATAGAGGGCACCACCAGCCGTAGCACGTAAATTTACCTTTAGGTTCAATTCTAGATAATATTTAAAGAACTGAATTAATTTAAATAATTGAAGTGAGAGCAAAATACACATACTCTCTATTAAATCATAAAAATGTATCACAAAAATATATAATAAAAAAAATAATTTATATGTATTATAGAAAAAAACAGTTCTAAAGACAGACATAAATTTGGACATGGTAGACCCTCTATTGAGTGCGGAAAACACTAAAACAGGATAAAAGCACATTTGTACTAAACCCACCCTCATAATTTGTGACGTGTTTGTAATTTATTTTTTATATTGTATGTAATAATTTTATTTGTAAATATGATAAATAAATAATAATAATAATTGTTAAGACTAAATTTTACTATTATATTTAACAACTTAATTATTTTTATTAATTATAGAATAAATATTATAATATATATATCTTATATATAAAAATGGAGCTCTCGATCAAATGATTCGATAAAACTCGTAAACGGCTAAACCGATTTGGCCAGTCTTAGTCTTGAAAATTTCGTGCTAATCAGAAGGTTGTCGGAAAGGTGAGATATTATTTCAAAATCGCGTAGAAACTTTACATTTTTAATTTCAAATTTTTGTAGAAGCGTAATTTGAATGAAACAATGGACGGTGGCTAATACGTCAAATGTCAAACGTTTTTGACAGATGCTGTTCAATTACGTTTAATAGGATGCTTTACGTGAATATTATTTAATTATGATTAAATTATTATATTTAAATTAAATATTTATACACAAAAACGTTATTAAACGGATCGTAAGTGTTACTAGAAACTCAAAATATCTACTTTTTTGAAATGTTAATATGAAAATGCACTTTTTGGCATATTTTTCTCAAACACGGTGCTCTGAAAGATCTCATTTGTATAATTATATTCATTGGTATTTATAAAACATTTTCCAGGTTATATTATTTTTTATTTATGTTATTTAAATTCATTCAGTTAAAACAAAAACAAAGATTAAATAAAAAAATAAATTACTGATTTGTTATAAAATTAATTTATAACTATATTTATTTATAATCATAACACTTATCTTAATAATAATTCTGTTTAACAGATTTAAACCCTTTTCACTAAAGTGCACATCAATGTCTTTAGACATTACTTCATATTATTATATTTATAAATAATAAATGCATAAGATAACTATTATAAAATATCGCAAGTATCAAAAAATAGTTATTGAATTGAATATTTAGTTCAATTTTTACTCAGTCTGCAAGCAGAATTTAAGCAGTACATTTATTTATTTAATTTTAAATAAATTTCTCACAAAATGCCTAAAACCAAAGAAGAAAAAACTAAACAGAGTTGAAAAAAATCTTCAGAATATTTTTAAGGAAATGCAAGAAATAAGGGAACTCTTAAACAATTTAGAGACATGTGAAGAGGAACAATTTTTAAAAGTTAATAATAATTCTTATGTCGATCGCAGAAGTCCCCAAATACATCGGGATAATGTTAGAAACATTATATATCCAGATCAAAAATGCAAAAGTAATGATGATTCAAATATTGATTAAAACTTGTAAATTTAATTAACACAAAAATTAGCATATGCGCGATAGTAAATAGAACATCAATTTGTATGAAGAAGTGTTTGTCATATATTAAATAAAATAGTGAAAAAAATATTTATTTTGATGGTATAATGTGTATAAAACAAGTATAGTAACATTTGTATCAAAATATTTAAATTAATTATTGAAAAAAAACTTGAGTTTTTGGAGCCTAAATCCGCAGTGATACGAATTTATTTGTGAATGTGGAATCAAAGTTTTTGTTAATTTAATAAATAGTAAAAAGTGTTTAATAAAAAGTGTAGTATTTTTGTATCAAATAAATAACTAAAAATGAAAAAAAATATATATATATATACATTATTATATAATGAAAATTGACTTAATATATTTTTAATACTTATTACTTAGTAGCTATTTTAAAAGGCAAGATTATAATATATTTATAAAAATGTAAAATTTTGAATATTAAAATGTGAGTATTTATTTATAAAAAAAATAATAAGAATCGAAGCAAAAATGAACGAAAATCAAATAAGAATAAAACGTTATGAAATGTGACTTATGATACGTAACTGTTACGTACAAAAATAAATATTTAATTTTAATGAAGTATAATTTTAATGGAGTATTTTAATGGAGTAGATTTTAGTAAGTTAGCATAATAAATATTATAAATGATTAGATGAAGTAAAATTAAATTTTTAATATTTGGTCAATTGACAAGGATAAAGTTTGCAAAATAATTCTATATATATATATATATATATATATATATATATATATATATCTTCGATATTGTTTATTTCGACTTTGAAACATATTGTGATAAGAGTTTTCAGCCACAAGTCGAAAAAATAAAAACAGAACGAAAATTCAGTTCATTTGTGAACAAGAGGTTGACAATTCTATATATTAGCTTTTTAGATATTAAAATTTTTAGATTTAATAATAACAAAATTTATACAAAATGGTATCAAAAGCCAACTTGGTCCGGTCGTTACATTAATTATTTTTCCTTTCATTCCCGTTCGATCAAAATTTCTATTATTATTTCATTAATTGATAGAGCTATTCTTTTAAGTAATTACATCTTTTGGAATAAAAATTTAGATTTAATCCGCGAAATTCTTGTAGACAACTCATATCCGTTAAAATTAGTTAATAATATTATAAAAAACCGTATGAATTATTTAATTAATAATAAAATTAACATTAATAATACTTAATTAATTGTTGATACTAGTTTAATAAATTCTTCATCTTTTCTAAATTAATATAAAGGTATTATTATCTTACCATTTTTAGGCAGGTTTTCTTTTTTAAAAAAAGATATTTTCTGAAGAAGGTTTTCTTTTAGTTTCCAAATTTGAAAACAGTTTAAATTCTTTGTATACTTCTTTAAAATCAAAAACACCACACAATAGAATTGTTGGCTCCGTTTACAAAGTGAATTGTAATGATTGTGAAAAATTCTATATTGGGGAGAGTTCACAATATATATCTAATATAAGAGAATGCTTCAACATAAATATAAATCAAAAAATAAAAATTAATACAAAACAATGCTTTCAGACCATATGCAAAATTTTAAACACACATTTGATTTAAACAAGGCTGTTATTTTATATATTTAACAAAATGTTGACCTAAGGAGGTTTGCTGAATCTGTTTTCATTTTTTTAAATTCACAATGTGTAAATAAGAGATAGCTATCAAAATTTAAATAATGTATGTAAATCTGATTTTTTAATATTTGAACAATTTTTTACCACTTGATATTTTCTTTTCTTCTTCTTTTTCAGAATTCGAAATATTTCGATTACTCGATTTTATTTTTCAAAATTATATATATATATACATATTTTTTTGTTTTTGGGACAAAATATTGATGTTTTAATTGTCAAATTTCATATAAAATAATCTTAAACTGGTTTGGTATGTATAATTTCAATTTTAATTCTGTTTTATTTTATTTTGTTACTTTGTTTTATTACTCTGTTGAAGGTTTGCTGAATCTGTTTTTATTTTTTTAAATTCACAATGTGTTAATAAGAGAAGTTTTTCTTCTTTGCTTTTTGACAGCTATCAAAATTTAATTAATGTATGTAAGTCTGATTTATTAAATATTTGAACAATTTTATTACTCTGTTTGTATTTTAGCTGAATGATGAGCTAGTACAATAGCTCGAAACGTATAAAGAAGATTTTATATTTACGTTCTGTTTTTATTTTTTCGACTTGTGGCTGAAAAACCTTATCACAATATATATATATATATATATATATATACACCTAAGTCTGTTTTTACACGGTCTTTTTGTACACGGTTTTGATATAACACGGTTTGAAAAATGAATATTTTTAATTTTTTACACGATTTTATTCCATTTAGCACGATTTAAAATTTTATGTACTTAAATTTTTTTGTCAAACTTAATTTTTGCGAAGTATGTTTCTATTCTTTTTGTTCACAACATAGTTTTTTAGTTCCAGAACTTGCCATACATTTAATTTATATTACTTTTAAGATTAGAGTGCATATCTTATTTTTTATCATTAATTACTATGCTTGTGAAAATAAGCATTACATATTTGATTTAATAAAATAAACATGATTTCTTGTTCTTAAAAATTCTTGTTTTTCACTAATTTTAGAGATTAGGAACAAATCACCCATTTTTGTATAAGATCAATGTCTTTTTTTACACGGTTTTTTTACGCGGCTTCTTCTGGAACCAATCTACAGTGTAAAAACAGACTTAGGTGTATATATAAAATACTTAAAATAAAATATTTACTTTACGAAACGAAGTAAACGCATTGTCATAAAAATTGTTGATTACTTTATGTAAAAAAATACAAACGTATATATATATATATATATATATATATATATATATATATATAATAAATTATAATTAAATCCTACAAACTACTCTCCATCTCCTCCTCATCAGTATATTTCCTTCTCCTAAGACTATCTTCACTCTCACAATCCGAGTTTTCTTCCAAAATCTGCGTCAACCTGGGCTCGAATCCAAACTGATCCTTACCCTGATCCTTTCCCTGATCCTTAACCTGGTCATTATCCTGATCTTTTCCCAAAGAATTATCAACAGCCTCCTCAGCTCCATCAGCCGAATTTTCATCCCCTTCCTGGGTCAAATCGATGCTCAAAGGATATTCCTCCAAATTGACTTCAGGGTAAAAGTCGTCTTCTCGGTAGTAGATATCAAAACTGTCGGCTAGGGATGATGTGGTTGAACAGTCCAAAATATCATCGTGGCTGTTTCGGCAGCTAAAAAGTTGCATGTGAGAGCCCAATTGTTCCTCGGATGTGAATTCGTCGTCGATGTAAAGGTCTTCAATGCTGCGAGCATCCTGGGAAGATAATGGTTGTAAATGTTAGAGTTGGGCGAATTGGGGAATAAGTCACATCTGACTTCTCTAAAATTATCCTGCATTTGTTAACACGAACAGATATTTACTTGTGTCTTTCACTACAATAAAATTTTCGACATGAAAGAAGTGATACTCAGGGCGAGTGTTACACTTTGCCTGTGTTATGTTTGCATCTAAGATTTGATGTTTTCAAAAATATGAACTCCACATGTTTTATTTTTTTAAATTGTTAACTTAAATACGCAATATTATTATTTCATTCATAGGTTCTTTAAAAAATGTGATATTAAACATTTTATTAATTAGTATGTTTTTCCTTAGATTTTGGTTTATTTTTTTATTATATCTTACTTTAGGCGTGAATTTGAGAAATGAAAAAAAATTATCACATTCACATGTTGTATTTCATGGAAGAGGCTAATGTATTATCTAAATGATGAAAAAATCATCAAAGCGAAGAAACTATGGTCTAAATAATCAAAAGGATGAACAAGTTTTCCACAAGTTTTTGACAAAGTCGACTAAACACGGAAACAGTCATCTAAATAAAACCAAGAGTAGTCAGAGTTTTCCAAAAGCAGTCAGAGTTGACTAAAAGTCGACAAAGTCGTTCAAAATCCTCCAAAATTGTCGAATAGTCGACAAAGTCGTTCAAGAGTATCCAGAATCGTCTAAAAGTCGGCAAAGTCGTTCAAAAGTCTTCAGAATTGTCGAAAAGTCGATAAAATTGTTCAAAAGTCTTCAGAATTGTCGAAAAGTCGATAAAGTCGTTCAAGAGCCTCCAAAATTGTCCAACAGTCGTTAAAAATTTTCCAGAATTGACAAACAGTCAACAAAGTCGTCCAAGAGCCTCTAAAATTGTCGAACAGTCGACAAAGTCGTTTAAAAGCCTCCAAAATTGTCCAACAGTCGACAAAATCGTTCAAAAGTCTCCAAAATTGTCCAATAGTCAACAAAGTCGTCCAAGAACCTTCAAAAATTGTCCAACAGTCTACAAAGTCGTTCAAAAGCCTCTAAAAATTTTGAAAGTCGTTCAAAAGTCTTCAGAATTGTCTAAAAGCCGACAAAATCGTTCAATGGCCTCCGGAGTTGTCCAAGAGCCTCCGGAGTTGTTCAAGAGCTTCCGGAGTTGTCTGAGAGCCTCCGGAGTTGTTCAAGAGCTTCCGGAGTTGTCTGAGAGCCTCCGGAGTTGTCGGAGAGCCTCCAGAGTTGCTCGGGAGCCTCCAGAGTTGCCCGCGAGCCACCAAAGTTGCCTGGAGCCACCAAAGTTGCCCGGAAGCCTCCACAACTGTCCATGAGCCTCCAGAATTGTCCCATGAGCCTCCAGGGCCGCCACAGTTGTCTAAGAGTCTTCACAATCGTCCAAAAGTTTCCACAGTCGTTCATAAATCTTCAAAGTTGTCCAAAAACCTCCGAAATTGTCCGAAAGCCTCCCGAATTGTTCAAGAGCTCCCAGAATTGTCCTAAAGCCCCCAGAATTGTCAAAAAATCTCCAGAATTGTCCAAGAGTATCCAGGGTTTTCACAGTTCTCCAAGAGTCTTCAAAATCGTTCAAAAGTCTCTACAGTCGTCCAAAAATCTACTAAGTCATCCAAAAAAAACTCCAAAGTCGTCTAAAAGTCTCCAGAGTCGTCAAAATTTCAATAAAGCGTCAAAGTCAACAAAATCGTCCAAAAGTGAAAACAGTTGTCCAAACATGAAACAATCAACCAATAAACGTCCTAAAATTGTCCTAATTTTGCAACAGTTATCTAAACATCAAAAAAATCATCGAAATATTCTACGAATCATCCAAATATCGAAACAATCATCCTAATGTTGAAACGATTAACATAACTTCGGAAAAAATCATCTCATATAATCCCAACACATAAAAAAATAATCCTAATGTCGAAAAAAAGACTCCACCCTCGGCAAAATTCGCAAAGCCCAAAAAAACATACCAAAGTCGAAAAAAATCATCTCAAATTGAAATAACCATTCCAACGTCAGAAAAAATTAAGCAAATATCGGAGAAAAATATTAAAGCGACTTTCATCTTTCTTACCTGTATTGCTGCAAAAGCTTGACACCTCCTCAAAGAACCTCCATTCTGGGCCAAATCGATGGCGGAACTCAATAAATATCTGGCGTCCAAATCGGCGAATTGATCTCGTAACAAATTGGCACACAAATCTGCCAATTCTGGACTCAAAGTCAGGCGACGTCCTAAAGATTCCCTTTGCTGATTTTTGGAAGTTGTTTCTGGTGGATTGACATGGGAACCGCAATGGGTACACACTTTGTCAGCTGTAAGGAGAAAAGGACACAAAGTCAGTTAACATAAAAATTGTGATAATTGTGCCCATAATAATGAAAGTGGTCTAAATCAAAACTTAAACTAGTTGGTTTGGTATTTAGCCTTGAGGCAAGTTACATGAACTTCCAGATATGTTTAAATAATCGACTTAATCAATAAAAAATAAATTAATTTATAAGTCATTAAAAGTATTCCGAGTGGATTTATTACACATAATTGAAACGAACGAACACTTTGACTCGTAGTATTTTCTAAAAGCAAATTTTATATAATTGAACCAGTTTTCAGGACTTTAATGGTTTATTATGTTCAAGACCAAGTACTCTATCATTATACCAAGTAAATAGTCTAATTTTAATTTTAACAAATCTCAAAAGAACTACTCTTTTTCTCAAACTTTGATGAATTTTTCTAATCAAACTATTTGTCGTAAGGCCGTAATATTTCAGTAAGTTCTATAAGACCATGGTATATATCGCTAAAAAAAATCCATAAAAATCGGCTTATTTTTTTTTCAACAGTTAATTACAAGAAAACGGCTCGGTAGATTTTCACCTAAAATTAATCAGTACCATTCCCAACTAATATCTTTCGAACGGTTTTTGATTCTTTAAAATCGGTTCGGTAGGATGAGGTTAAATGTGGACGAAAAGTTTGACACTTTTTTTCAAATTATAAAGAAACGGCTTGGCAGATCGTCGCACAAAACTGACAAACGATAGTCCTCACCGAAATACATCAAATGGCTTTTAAATTTCTGAAATCGGTTAAGGCGTTTTTGAAAAAACGTCGATCAAAGATTTCATTTTGACAAATGTCAATAAAACGATACCAATTTTTGCAAACTTTGACGAATTTTTAAAGCTAAACGAGTTGTCGTAGGGCCGTAATATTTTAGTATGACCTAGAAAACTATGGTATCTACCGTCAAAAAAAAAATCATAAAAATCGTCAAAATTTTTTTTTTAAAAAACTTTATTACAAGAAAACGGCCCGGCCGATCTTTACCAAAAACTAATCAGCACGATTCCCAAGCAATATCTATCGAATGGTTTTTGAATTTTCAGAATCGATTCAGAATTGCGGGCTAAAACGTGGGCGAAAAATTTTTCACTTTTCTGCAATTTACAAAGAAACGGCCCGGCCGATCGCCGCACAAAACTCAGAAACGATAGTCCTCATCGAGATACATCGAATGGCGTTTAAATTTTTGAAATCGGTCCAGCCGTTTTGAAGAAAACGTCTATTTACGGCAAAAAATCTGTTCACACACACACACAAACACATACTTTTTCCAAATTTGGTCTCAATCGATTCAGAATGGCTTGAAACGTCGAGAAAACATAAAATTAGCGAATCGGATTTTTTGATGAAAACATAAACTTCTCCTTCGGGAAGTTAAAAAAAAATGAGTTTATCAGTTATTTCATACCACATTAGTTTAAACTAATGTTCAATGTAATTTTTACGAAATTGTCAAAAATGAACCATTAGATAGTGGTTGTAATTTCAACACTATGTGGAATTCATTAGGTGTTAATTATGAAAGTGGTCTAAGTCAAAAATTTTTGGTATCAGGTCATTCCTTTCTACCGAATGATCGTGATTTTGGGTTGATAGAAATGAAAATAAAAAAAGCAAATTACTTATACAACCCTGAGCATTATTATGAATTGATAGAAAAGTGCAGAAGAAGCAATACATTTTCGATAAAGCGAATGTCGCAGCCGGATTTTATTTCAACAAAATCATTAGAAGATACAATAACAAAGAGTAATAAATACCGCGGGCGAATCTGTCTCTTGGCTACAAATTCAATAGATGAGATTCTTGAAAAATGAACCTTATAAAATTTTTTATATTTTATAAAACTTCTTTAGACGATTCTACATTTTATGTTTTGGATCTTTCGCCTAAAAGAGGAAGACCAAAAATATACGGAAATATTAAATTACTTCCCTTATACACCAGCATTAGACCAGTATGGGAAGAAAAACAAACAAACAAATATTATGAGTTTACTACCGTACATCCCTCCAGTTTTTCAGGAACATTTTAAGAATCTTAAATACTCAAAATAATGATAAAAATGAATTACCGTTTAAAAATAATTAATAAATGCTCACGAATTATTTTAATAAAATTATTGTTTCAAATAAAACTCAAAGTTATTTATTGCTTTAAGTCATTTATAGGACATTCAGTTAATTTTGAAAATGGTCTAAGTCAATTCAAACTTTAAAAGCAATATTGTCGTATGAAATTCACACAAAATTTCATATTCATAATAAATTTCCATTAATTAAGACTAATAAAATTAAAAATTAAAATGTCGCATAATGTAAAAATATTTTTTAATTTATTAACTTCCCGTAGGGCAAGTTATAGTAATCGCAAAAAAATCGAAAATGAAATTTTTTTTATATCTTTACGTTTCAGAGGTTTCTGAATATTTTGGCATACCTTAGAAAAAATGTATGTGTTTGTGTGTGTGTGTGTGTGTGTGCGTAGTATGTATGTGTGTGCGGATACAAATTTTCGTCGACGATTTCGGGAACACGGATCAGCCGATTTGAATAATTCAAAAAGCATTCGATTCGTATTGATAAGGAGACGTGCTGATTAGTTTTTGGCGAAGGCAGGTCGAGCCGTTCCAAAGATACGGGGCAAAAAGTGCCGAAAACGGTAACTCAGTTTTTAAGAGAACGGAGCGTCCGATTTTAATAATTCAAAAAACATTTGACTTGTATTGACAAGATGAAGAATTGATCAAATTTTCATGAGGGCAGGTCTAGCGGTTTCGAAGATCTAACGAAAAAAGTAAAAAAAAATGCCATTTGGCGGTCAAAAATGATCATTAGACATATGCACATCAAATTATCAGATATTTTACAGAGATTTTAACAATAAGTATAAATTTTGTTTACATTCCTATGGGTTCCGTATCAATGTTTATTCGTTAGACGGCGACGCGGCGCTTACGCGCTTTGACATTTTGTCTCTATGCAGTTAAAGCAGTACGATCGCTTTGAAAAAGAGTTCAGATCTTCCAAAATATGCCAAAATAAAAAAAACATTATTTTTTTCAAAAAAAAATTAAAAAAAAAAAAAATTTTTTTTTTTCAAAAAAAAGTAATTTTTTGTCCAATTTATAGTTTCTCAAAAATCTTATTTTTTCGAAGTAATTTTTTTTAAAAATGTCAATCGTTTTTAAAAAAATAATAATTTTGGTACGGGAAGTTCCAGCAATTTGCCTTAAGGCACGATGCCTTAATTGCCTTAGGACAAAATTCCACTTACAGCTAGTTCAAATGCAATTCATTAAATATCTTGAAACCAGAAATATATGACTTAGACCACTTTCATAATTATGGGCACAATTGATGTTTTGTTTGTAGTGGTACTTACCATCCTCAGCATCCTTTTCCTCCAAAGCATTATTGTAAATAAAAGACTGGTCTAATCTTTTTCCGAACTCCGGAAACTCTGAACTCTTTCGGTTCTTCAAAAATTCAGCCTCGCTCGCAACTTCAGCACTAAACACTTCACTTTTATTAACATTCATTTTCTCAAACTCCTTCACGTTCCTTCTAAAGGACATCTGCCTTGTACGTTGTCGACTCAGGGACGAATCGTGGCTCAATTTTTCGTTTCTGGAATCTCTAGAACGTTTTTCAAATATTTTGGCTATTTCTAAGACACTCACACGCCTATTGATGGGCGATTGAGTTTCTTTCCTGCAAATCTGGGAGAAGAAACCACGATCTGGTGCTACTATGATCCTTGTGGAGATTTTGCTTGGTAGAGTTGTGTATCTGGAGAAGTCTGTTAGGGGAAAGTAGTCAGAAAATCTGGCTGTGGAAGACTTTGGTAAAGTGGATGAGTTATTAGGTTTTGGTAAAGTAGATTCAGGAATAGGCACATCTGGTGCATTAGATTCCAACGTTGCTTCATCGATAAACAGTTTTTCATTAAAATCATGAACACAATCTAAAATATCATCACTAGCCATTTTGGGAACAAGGCTCTTCTCACTTGTATCAAGATTATGAGCATCTAACTTCGAATTATTTTGGTCTTGTTGGATTTGGTCCACTTTTTCATTATCACGAGTCATGTTTGCATCATAGTTGTCGATAATTGGTTGTTCATAAATATTCAAACAATTTTCTTCGACCTGGTGTTCACTTATTTCTTCACAACTGTCTATTTTATCATCTGCAGTTTGTGTAGAGGAAGCCTTGAGATCTTTATCCATATTGTTGGCGATAAAGTCTGCACGTTTAAGTTCACTAAATAAAAATAAGTTGTAATAACAATAATTAATAATAAGGACTAGAGAATTTCAATGCCGGTTTTTCGGTAATTTTTCATTTTAAAACCGGAATACCGGTAAATTACCGTTATTTTTATTATCTTAGACAAACGTAAACAAAATTGAAAGTTACTAGTACAAATATAAAAAATTTCTATACAACTACAACTATATTCAACTAAACAATCAAAACAATCAAATAAAACAATAAATAATAATTTAACAAAAGTATATCCAATTTAATTAATTCATTATCACTATCCAGTATAATGAGACTTTTCACGAAAACAAACTTATGAATAAGAAAGACCAAAAACTCATAAAAAAACATATTACATTATTATAATAAACTGTATTGTCTGTATCCGATGTGTTAAATTAGCATAATCTCCAATATTTAAAAAAAATAATTTTTCTACACTAATTTAAGATCGGATTCTATGTCGAGATAAATAATAAGTTACTATAATTGTTGAGTATTGTTATTTAAAAACAATGTGATGCTTCTATAGTATTTTCAAACTTCGAAACGTTCTCTAAAAATAATATTTTATAATTGTAATAAGAAGCAAAAGTATTTAGTAATTATTATAATTATTATGCATAAAGTTAGAAAAAAATAAAGATTAGGCAGGGGTAATCTGTATGATATAAAATATTTTGGCGCAAATATCACTTAAAAAATCGTTACATTTTTACAAAAGAGGAAACAAACATCATAATCTATCAGTCCAATTCTATTTATTGTAACACGATATGAAGCTCTAAGTAAAGCAATAAATATTCAGTTTAATGACGAGTTGAGATAATATTTGACATTTGTTTATCCAATAGAATCACTTGAAGATATAGCTGTTTATGCGATTATGGAATTTAAAGATAAATTTGTTCCGAGAAATTTAAACTTTAGTATATTATGTATCAAATAGCGCTTATGTAAAAATATCGAAAATACCGGTATTTTTGGGATAAATACCGGTAAAAATACCGCCAAAAAATCGGGCGGTTTACCGTTAATTCGGTATACCGGTATTTCGGTATTGCATTCCCTAATAAGGACAATATTAAATTATTATTTTTTATATTTACCATTTGTTTTTCTCCATTTTCCAAAGCGAGTTTTCAAAATGATCGATGGCTGCTTGCTGTTGAATGTGTTGTACTTTTTTGGCTTCATCAGATATTTCTACCACAGTTGGTGACTGGCGACCAGAACTTGTAATGTGATCTAAAATAAAAAAAAACAATAAATAATTCGAATACAAGATCAGGTGTTACAAGTACTTTCTGTAATATTTTTTACCTCTTGGCAATGTATTGCATTCGTCATGATGATTAGCTGGTTTGATTGCCTCAACATTGTATGGTGGTGATAAATTGGGAAAACGACTAAATTTAGAATCCCTTGTCCAGTTTTGGTTTTGCAATACGAATGTGGTTTCTCGACTGTGACTTGCTGGTTTTACTGGGGACGCTTGTAATCTCCTGAAAATAAAATTATGGTAATAAATTAGCAAGAATAAAAAGTAAAATGTGTAATAAGTTAAATAAATTTGTAAGTAGCCAGAGCGCTGGTAATCAGAATTTTCAAGAACAAAGGTCCCAAAAGTCAGAATTTCCTAGAACAAACATCCTTGATATCAAAATTTCCAAGCACAAAGGCCCTGGAAATCAGATTTTTCAAGAAAGTCAGAATTTTCAAGAAAAAGGGTACTGAAAGTTAGACTAAAGGTAGTGAAAGTCCAGTGAAAAATTTCAAAGACTAAAGATGGAGAAAATCAGAATTTTCAAGAATAAATGTACTAAAACTCAGAATTACCAAGACTAAAGGTGGTGAAAGTCAGAACTTCCAAAAACAAAGGTCCTGTATAACAGATTTTCCAAGAACAAAGGTCCTGGATATCGGAATTTTCATGTACGAATGCCCTGAAAATCAAAATTTCCAAGAACAAAGGAGAAGAAAATTAAAATTTCCAAGAACAAAGATTTAAATATCAGATATCCCAAGGCCAAAGGTCCTGGATATCAAAATTTCCTAAAACAAAGGTTCAGGAAATCAAAATTTCCAAAAACAAAAATCATGGATATCAGAATTTCCAAGAACAAAGGTTCTGGTAATTATAATATCCAAGGATAAAGGTCCTGGATATCAAAATTCCCCAAAACAAAGGTCCTGGATATCAGATTTTCCAAAAACAAAGGTCCTGAAAATCAAGAACAAAGGTCCTGGATAACAGAATTTACAAGAACAAGCATCCAAAATCAGAATTTACAAGAACAATGGTCATGAAAATCAAAATTTCCAAAAACAAAGGTCGTAAAAATCTGAATGTTCAAGAAAAAACGTACTGAAAGACAAATTAAATGTGGTGAAAGTCACTTCCAACTTCCAAGACAAGAGTGCTGAAAATCGAAATTTCTAAGAATAAAGATGCTGAAAGTCAGAGTTTTCAAGAAAAAAGGTATTGGAAGTCAGAATTTCCAAGACTAAAGGTGAAGATAGTCAGAACTTATAAGACCAAGACTGCTGAAAATCAAAATTTTCAAGAAAAAAGGTACTAAAAGTCAGAATTTCGAAAAACAAAAGTCATGGCAATCAGAATTTTTAAGAAAGACCTGAAAATCAGATATCATCAGGTATCCAAAAGCAAAGATGCTGAATGCCAAGACTTCCAAGACCAAACATGTTGAAAATATGAATTTTCAAGAGAAAACCAGTTTCTAAGACTAAAGGTGAAGAAAGTCAGAACTTAAAAAACCAAGAGAGCTGGTAATCACAATTTCTAAGACCAAGAGTGTTGAAAATAAAAATTTACTAGATCAAGAGTGTTGCAAATTAAAATTTATGAGACTCAGAGTTCTGGAAATCAAAATTCTCAAGACTAAAGATGCTGAAAATCAGAATTTTCAAGACCAAGAGTGCTGAAAATTAAAATTTTAAAAGTCTAAAGATGCTGAAAATCAGAATTTCCAAGATTAAAGGTACTGAAAGTCAGAACTTACAAAACTAAAAATGTTGAAAATCTGAACTTCCAAGACCAAGAGTGCTGGAAATCAACATTTCCAAGACCAAAAATGTTGAAAATCTGAATTTTCAAGAAAAAAAGTACTGGAAGTTAGAATTTCCAAAATTAAAGGTACTTAAAGTCAGAATTTCCAAGACCAATAATGATGAAAATCAGAACTTCCAACACCAAGAGTGCTGGAAATCACAATTTACAAGACTAAGAGTACTGGAAATCACAATTTCCAAAACTAAAGGTGTTGGAAATCAAAATTTTCAGGAACAAAGATCTAAAAATCAAATATCCCAAGACCAAAGATGCTAAAAATCTGAACTTTTAAGACCAAAAAAATGTTGAAAATCAAAATTTAAAAGATTACAGGTGCTGAACTACCAAAACCAAAAATGTTGAAAATCAGAACTTTCCAACATCAAAACTGCTGTAAATCAAAATTTTCAAGAAAAAAGGTACTGTGAGTCAGTATTGAATGTTGAAAATCAAAACTTCCAAGACCAAGAGTGCTGACAATAAAAATTTACAAGACCAAAAGTGCTGAAAATAAAAATTCTCAAGACTAAAGATGCTAAAAATCAGAATTTTCAAGACTAAGAGTGCTGGAAATCACAATTTCCAAGACCAAGACTGCTAAAAATCGGAATTTTCAGGACCAAAGGGGCTGAAAGTAAGAACTTCCAAGACCAAGAACGATAAAAATCAAAATTTCCAACACTAAAGGTGCTAAAAATCAAAGTATTTAAAAACGGTACTGGAAAATCGTTGAAAATCTGAATTTTCAAGACCAAAGGGGTTAAAAGTTAAAACTTCTAATATCAATAATAGTACAAATCACAATTTCCAAGACTAAAATGTCAACAAACAGAATTACTAAGACCAAGAGCACGGGAAATATCTAAAACTTTTGAAGGAAAACAATGTTAGATAAGAAAATTTATCCAAATTATTTGTGCATTTGTTAATATTCCAAAACATCTTTAGTTAGGGTTTTCTTGGCCTTAGTCTTAACAAAATAAGTAAATTTACTGTTTTATCTCCTAATATTATTTTTCGATTATTTTACTTACTCTTTCTGTCCAATATCATAGTTAAGAGACGAGCTTTGTATCCTCGAAGGAGTGCTGGTCGTCATACAACTGGCACCACAAGTCAAACTCTTCGACAGCATATCATTCAACTTCGTCTTCACATTATTAATCCTTGCCAATCTTTCCCTTCTTCTAATAGCCCTAACACTTTCACTCCCCTGATTCACAGAATTAGCTTCAGGGGTGCTAAAAACCTCATCAGCATCAGACTTCTCCGAGTGCAACAGTTTAGGAGATATGTGTTTTTTGATCAACTCTTCAGCTTCGGGGGTGCTAAAAACCTCATCAGCATCAGACTTCTCCGAATGCAACAGTTTAGGAGAGATATGTTTTTTGATCAACTCTTCAGATTGTTGATTTTCTAAAATTTTATCAAACGTTTTGTTGATATCGTCTCGTAGACGTTCCATTTCTTCATAGACTTCACCGGGGTTTACAAAAGCGTCGCTGAAGTTCTTGGTTCCGTTGAAATTTTCACTAATGTTCCTGGTTTCATTCAAGTTTTGGCTGGTGTTTTTGTGTTTTGGTTCGGACAACCAGGCATTTTTGCGTATCTTGGTGTTCCTGGCAATCGGAGTCTCCGGTAATTCGTAGTCTTCGATATCAAAACTGTACACCGAATCTTGGCTTTTGGCATTGTTGTAGTTGGTAACAGACAAATCAGTAACCGGTGTTTGTATTTGTAGAGGCGTATAAAATTTTGGTGTAATGTTCAGTAAAAATTTACCTTTTGGATTCGAATCACCGTCAACTATCGGTGACAACACGGTATTGGTTAGATTAGTTTTATCATTCATACTGTAGTACTGTGAGTTGTTAGATTCATTCACAAGTGGACTCGAAAACATGTTATAACTCTGGTTTTTGGTTTTCAGATCTTCAGTTTGGCGTTTGAGCTCATCCAAGAAATCAGAACAAGTCATTCTTCTTACATCTTCATCACTGAACTCGATTTTGTTTGCGTTTAGTTCCGTATAGTATTTTTGCATATTGGATTGTTTTTTGTCGATGCTGTCCTGAGTTTTGTTAAAACAATCGTCGATATTGTATGTATCCTCCTGGTGGTTAAAATAAGATTCCTCGGGTTCAGTTTGCGAGATGGTTCTGTTCTGGATAAGGATGCTCTGAAGACGTGAATGTGAACCAAAATTTTCGTTCTGGTATGGTGTTTGGACATCTAGATCATCAGCACCCTGGAAATTAGTTTGAAGTTCTTCCATAAAATCGGAGACCGTCAAAATCCTCAACTTGGGCTTCAACACGGTCGCTTTGATAATTAAATTGGTATATTTATTGTCAACTTTAGCAGGGATGTCTACGCTTTCTGAATTTCTATACTTTTTTGATATCTCTTGCAAACTTACTCCTCTCCATGGAACACAACCTGAACGAAACAAAACAATCCTTAAAATAAGGTGCCCATAATTTTTTTTAGAGTCTAAACCGGAACGGCAGTTTTTAGTTATGCTGATCCCGGATGGGAGAGGGGTGAACTTTGAAATAATAAATGTCATTTTAGGATACAATGAAAAAAAAAAGTTTTGAAGTAAAACTTCTTTAGGCGCGACTAGGGTGTCAATCCGTACGAATGCAACGGAAGTGCGTTACGGCAGATAAGATAAGATAAGAGTCGAGTGCCAATGCTTCGTCATTCGCTCTCGATGATATCATTTCTATGCGGGTCGATTGTGATTAGTCGTTGTGTATGTGAATAGAGATCTGTCGTTGTATGCGTACCGATATCAACAAGGAAATCGGCATAGATAAATAAACATTTTAATGTTACATCGTAGCACGAATCTTGATTTAATGAAAAATGTCTGAATCGGAAGAATATTTTACCCTGTTCCTAATATTTTTTAGGCAAAACAGATTACAGCTTTTCAAAGAAAATATCCAAGAACAAAGGTCCTAGAAATCAAGAAAAAAGGTCCTGGAAATCAAGAATAAAGGTCCTGGAAATCAAAATTTATGCTAATACAGGACGGGAAGGGGGTGAGCTTTAAAATAATAAATGCCAATGCCAGGATAAAATGAAAAAACAGTTTTTTATATGAATCTTTTTTTTTTAAATCAAAATTACGGATTTTTAGTAAGTACTTCAGTGTTCGATTATATATAATACTTTTTTTTAACTTCCCGTAGAGTAAGTTATAATAACAGACCGAAAATTTTGTATATCTTCACGTTTTAGAGGTTTCTGAACATTTTGGTATATCTCAGAAAAAATAAATATGTGGATACAATTTTTCGAAGACGATTTCGGGCGCACGGATCAACCGATTTGGTTGATTCATTTCCTATTCGATTTCTATTGATAGGGAGATGTGATGATTAGTTTTTGGCAAAGGCAGGTCCAGCCGTTTCGGAGATACGGTGCAAAGAGTGCAGAAAATAGAAATCGAGTTTTCGAGAGAACGGAGTATCCGATTTGAATGATCTAAAAATCATTCAATTAGTAATGATTGGGAGAAGTGTTTATTAGTTTTTGGCAAAGGCAGGCTCAGCCATTTCGAAGATACGGAGCTAAATGTGGAAAAAATGGCAGTTTTTGAGAGAAATAAGCGTCCGATTCAATTGATTCAAAGAACTTTCTGCTTGTCTTAACAAAATAATTGATTTTGGAAAAAAAAATTTGTTTCAACTTTTTTTTTTTTTTTAAATTTTTTGTATATCGAAAATAATTCAGATTTTATTTTTAATTCTGACTATAGTTCTAATATACTTTACAAATAATTTCAACTCTGCAATTCAGTTTATATAATTCTTATAAATATTAGACAATGTTACAATATTGATAATAATCTATTTGAAAATATTCAATATTCCTCGAACATTTCGTTATGGTACGGGAAGTTCCAGCAATTTGCCTTAAGGCACGATGCCACCCACCCCACTAGTTTGTCGTTTTTTCGTTGACGGAATAAGCGATTTGAATAATAAGAAAAACATTCGATTTCTACTGAAAAGATAGGTCTAGCCGTTTCGGAGATACAGGGCAAAAAGTGCCAAAAATGGTATTTCAGTTTTTGAGAGAACTGAGCGTCCTATTTGAATAATTCAAAAAATATTTTACTTGTATTGACAAAGTGAACAACTGGTAAAATTTTTATAAAGGCAAGTTCAGCGTCTCCTGAGATCCAATAAAAAAAGTAGCGAATAATACCATTTGGCGGTCAAAAATGAACATTAGACATATATACAACGTATTATCACATAATTTATAAAGATTGTAATAATAAGTATAAATTTTGTGTACATTTATATGGGTTCCGTACCAAAGTTTATACGTTAGACGTCTGCGCGTTGTTGAAATGAAAGACCAAACGACAATATTACAACATCTTCGAGTCAGAATGTTAAAAATATTAAAAATAATACTATTACTAACGATTAATAAGCATCATACCAATTTTTCAGTCCATACTATTAATGAAGTAAATGAATTTAAATAACCCAAACAATTAATTTAACATTTACATATAATGTATTTCACGGATATACTTGTGTCATTATATGTTAATATCAATTTTAAATTTCAAAAGCGGAAATCGGGCTTTTAACAATACGTAAGCAATTTGACGGCATTGGCGTATTTAAACAATATTTATCTGTAAAAACTCTATTTATATAATTAGCTTAACTAATTACAAGCATCTGTAGAACTGTTTATTTCGAGGGTGAATTAGCACTAATATGTATATCTTCAATTGTGGTAAATTTATAGGTTCCACTGTGATTTTAACCTAAACCTCAAGTGTAAGTAACTTCTGTACTATTACTCCACTTCCTTTGATATTTCGACACCAAAATTTTCAAAAAAAATCAAAATACAAAACAAAATATTAAAAAATCAAATTTGTCAAAAATTTCAAAATTTTTCAAACATCTAATTTATTCGAAGTTTTGCAAAAAAAAAATTTTCTAATTTAGTTTTCGGTATGGAAGTTGCCTTGAAGCAAGACTTCATACACCACTAGTTATCTTTGATATTTAAGTTTTGTATAAAATTATATTCAATTTTCTTCATAATTCATTTGAAAAAATCATGCACTTGTTTATTTTCATAATTTTTGTTAATCACCTACCAATTTTCGAAAAACCAGGACAACGCGGACCAAAAAATCTAAAACCGTAACAAAAATTACTTTCATAAAAAACCCGAGATCCAAAAAGTAAATCCGGGACTGTCTCGGCCAAACCGAGACCTATGACCACCTTACTTAAGATCTATTTACAAACTCTCATCAACCATCCATCCATCTACTTACCAGTGCAGCATTCCAAAACAACCAACCCCATAGAATAAATATCAGACCCTAAACAAGGTCTGACAGAAGTAGAATTGGTTGTGTTAAATAATTCAGGAGCTTGCCATTGGTAACTTGCCAAAACAGTTCTGTCGGTGGCCCTCTGTTCTTCGCCCCAAATACAAAAATCCCAGGCTTCACCACCATTATTTGTCGGATCGATTTTTGTAAATGTGAAATTTTTATTGCAATCTACGGATGTGGTGATGTCTTCGGAAGAGGGAAGCTTTTCATTTGATCTCGTGGCCTTTTTGCGGATTTCCTTGTTTGTGGCACTATGGCGACCTGGGTAAAGGAAATAAATGATTAATGTTGATATTTATATTTATAATATTTATATTTATATTTATAATAGTATTTTCTTAATTGAATTAATTACAGTAAAATACAACTATTGAACAATATTAAGCCTAACATTAGTAATATCTAATACAATAACTTGAAGAAAAAAAAATGTAATAAAATTCAAATAGTTTAATTGTTATAGATCATGAAAGTCTTCTTATGGTAAAAAAAAATCCTTTAAATATCCGTTATGCAATTTTTATTTGAGTATCATATCTGAAAAATAAAAATTAAGAGCAGTATCAAAAAAGAATATACAATATGAAAATACACCTAAGTCTGTTTTTACTTGGTAGATTGGTTTCAGAAGAAGCCGTGTAAAAAAGACATTGATCTTATACAAAAATGGGTGATTTGTTCCTAATCTCTAAAACCTATTAAAATTAGTGAAAAACAAGAATTTTTAAGAACAAGAATTCATGTTTATTTTATCAAATCAAATATATAATGCTTATTTTCACAAGCATAGTAATTAATGATAAAAAAGAAATGCACTCTAATCTTAAAAGTAATATAAATTAAATGTATGGCAAGTTCAGGAACTAAAAAACTATGTTGTGAACGAAGAGAATAGGTTATTACTTAAATCTAACCAGTAAATTTTATTGTATGCACATAAAGGGAATTCCCCTAAATTAGTGCTATTCACATATGCTTTGACGAGTAAAAATTGTTTGTACGCGCTAAAGGGGAGTTAAAAAATTAAATTTGACAAAAAAAATTAAGTACATAAAATTTCAAATCGTGCTAAATGGAATAAAATCGTGTAAAAAAATTAAAAATATTCAATTTTCAAACCGTGTTATATCAAAACCGTGTACAAAAAGACCGTGTAACAACAGACTTAGGTGTAATTGTAATGATAAAATACTTAAAGTAGCAAAATGTTAAAATAATTTAGAATAAAAATTAGAAAAAGTATTGAAAAGGGGGAAAAAATTGTAACTGTTGGAAAAAAAAATTATCAATTATTATCGGAAGGCATTTCATTATCAAAATAACGTTTGATATCGAAATTGGCAAACTCAGAAGTATCGTAGAAACTTTGAGCTTTTAAAAGTTTAACAATGGTATTATGAAATTGACGATCATTCAGTTTCCTAATATGTAGTGGGAGTAGATTAAAAAGCTGTACTCCTCTTCCGTCTATGGTATTAAAAGATGTTTCAAGTTTAAAAGTTGGTCCTTTTATAGTCAAATTTCTTGTTTTATAATAGGAATTTAACATGGAGGATAGGTTGAAGCGTTCAGGATTATTCTTTATGAATGACAACGTAATTAGCAAAAATATACAGGGAACAATGAGAATGTCAAATTGTCGGAAAAGATTCCTACATGAGGACAAGGAACTGAGGTAAAAAATTATTCTTAATGCTCTTTTCTGTATTTTGAATATATCCTTTAAGGATGAGGAGAATCCCCAGAATTGTATTCCATAAGCGAGATGCGAATAGAAATTAGAATAATAAATTGAAAGAAGGCAATTTAAACTAACTTTTGATTTAAGAATTCTCAACATGAAACAGGTTTTAGTTAACTTAGGTACAAGTATGGAATGAATATGATTGTCCCAGTTTAAGTTTTTTTTGTAATTGGATACCTAGAAATTTTAAGACTGAGGAAAATTTAAATTGAATGCTATTGATAGTTAAAGAATTGATCTCATGACTTATCCTATTTACTGTTCAAAAAGACATAATTTGAGTTTTGTCATTATTGAGCAGAAGATTATTAGAATTGAACCAATTCGAAATTGACTTCATAACTAGATTTAATTTATTATTTACTTCTTAAGAATTATTATTCCAGAATTATTTTCCAGAAGCCTAAAATTTTTTATTGATTTACAAAAAGCTTTCGACACAGTAGATCATGGCATATTACTCAATAAACTAATAGATTTGGGTGTAGAGGGTTTGTCTTACAGCATTTTCAAAGATTTCCTCATGGAAAAGGTGGTAAGGACAAAGGTGGGAAATTTCACAAATAGAAGATATAGCATAACATGTGGAGTCCCACAAGGTTCTGTATTAGACCTTTATTATATCTATTAGTAGATCATGGACATATTACTCAATAAACTAATAGATTTGGGTGTAGAGGGTTTGCCTTACAGCATTATCAAAGATTTCCTCATGAAAAAGGTGATAAGGACGAAGGTGGAAAATTTTACAAGTGCAAGATGTAGCATAACCTGTGGAGTCCCACAAGGTTCTGGACTAGGGCCTTTATTATATCTATTATACACCAATAACCTTAAAGACGCAAAATTAAAAGGAAGATACATATTATATGCAGGCAATACTGCAATAGTATATGCAGATGAGGATAAAAAAACTCGAAGATACTATAAACACGTACATGAAAATATACACCGAGTGGCTAACTGAAAATAAACTAACAATTAACATCGATAAAACAAAATACATATATTTCAAACATAGAAAAAATACCGAGAACACTAAACTAAATATTAAAGTAAATAATAGATAAATAGAAGTAGTGGAAAGCATAAAATACTTAGGACTGATAATAAATAAAAAACTGACATGGACAGAGCATATAAACAAAATAAAAAGAAAGATAGGAACATTAACAGAGGCATTGAAAAGGATTCACTCTTTCGGCAAAAAAAATAAAATACTAATTCTTTAAACGCAAATAATACTTCTAATTGATATCGTGAGAGCCGAATTATATGTATTCATCTTTACTTTCCCATTTGTTGTTATAAAATGAAATTTTTACTAATTTTGAAAATATTGTGGAAAGATTAGTAAAATATGCAAAGAAGTTATATATTGAAAAAAAAACTATATTGATAATTTAATATCCGTATCTTGTGTTGGCGCCCCCTAAGGCGTGCGCTCGTATTTTTTGCATGCATTGCATTAAAGGTAGGACTGGCCCTGATTAATACTTAATTTCATATTTTAAGTGAATTAATTTGTCATATCCTGTTCATATGTGTATCATTCAATCTGCAATACGTATACTATATTTTATATTATTTTAATTTCTTGCACATCTCAGCTGCTTTTTGGCAATAATAATGTAGACATTTCATTTTTCTTATTCATAGGTATTTCAAATTTTTGGCAGATGATAGTTCTTATTTGTTTTCAATGCAAACAATGACATGTCGTTTTTTGCAATTTTTTCCATTTATTTCTACAATATTGCACGTACATCCGCCAGTACTTAATAATCACATACATCCTAGAAAATTTCCTTAAACTTCAGAAAGATTTATCAAAATCCGAATAATCGTTTAGAAGGAGTATACAGTGAGTGCTTGTAATTTAATATAAACTTTATATAGCAAAAAAGCTCAAATTGATTCTACGTCCTTAGTTAGAAAACGTTTGTATGAGAAAAAGAAAAGGGCTGTTTTTAGGGTTGTTTCGGCAATTCGATTTTTTAAATCCGTAAGAACCATCCTTGGACTTCAACAAACATTTAAAAAAAAGAATTGCCCAAATTGGTCCAGGCGCTGTTGAGTTATGCGCTTACCAACACATTTTGCGATTCATTTTTATATATAAAAAGATAAATTTTATATATTTTTATACAAGTGGAGTTTATACTTTCATATACATAACTACTGCCACATATTAATGAAATAGTCAAATGAAATGTATATATAAAATATGAAAACTGTTTTTCATAATCTCTCATACCAGGCACCTCTGTCTGACTGAGATATGAAAATAATGTATATATACAAATAAAAAAGAAAAAAAATCTTTATTACCTAATATACTTGTCGATTCAACATCGACCTCCTCCGCTTCACCATTTGGATAATAGTGCTGTTTGAAATCTCGATCTACCCTACTGCTAATTCGAAACCTGATAATTTGGCCCTCGAATTGGCAAAATCAATTAAAATGCAATGAGACGAGATATTGGTGTGTATGTATCCCCTGTTGTGCAGGAAATTCAGAGCTGAACAAATCTGATGCAGGATCATTGTGTATTTGGAGAGATTCCAGGGAACTTGGTAAGGCTGAAACCAGATAACAGATAGATGATATATATTTTTAGTTATTTATTATACTTGTTTTTATAGATTTTTACCTGTTCGTGCAACAGCTGGTACAACGTATTCGTAAATGGTTCCATTATTGTTACAACTTGGTCATCGTCATCGTAAGCCAAAGCCATCAACAAGGCTATGTTTTTGTGTGGAACGTTTCTGGAAAAAAATATAAAATAAAAAATCATATCATCGAGAGCGAATGACTCTCACTTCAGCTTGGTGTAACAATTTCCGTTGCACCCATGTCGCGCCTAAAGAAGTTTTACTTCAATAAACATTAAAATTTATTAAATTCCCGTAGGGTAAGTTATAGTAAACGCAAAGGAATCGAAAATGAAAAGTTTTATATATCTTACGTTTCAAAAGTTTCTGAACATTTTGGCATACCTTAGAAAATATTGATGTATGTGTGTGCGCGGATACAAATTTTCGTCAACGATTTCAAGAACACGGATGAACCGATTTGAATAATTCAAAAAACATTCGATTCCCATTGATAATGGGATGTGCTGATTAGTTTTCGGCAAAAGCAGGTCTGTCAGTTTTGAAGATACGGGGCAAAATGAGACAAAAAGCTATTTCACTTTTTAAGAGAACGTAGCGTCCGATTTGAATAATTTAAAAAATATTTTATTTGTATTGACTAAACGAAAAACTGTTTACATTTTTCGAAAGGCATGTCTGGCGGTTATGGATTCTCAATAAAAAAAATATTGAAAAATGACATTTTTCGGTCAAAAATATTTATTGGACATATGCACATCAAATTATCGGATATTTTATCGAGATTTTATAATAATGTGTGCACATTTTGTGTCATTTTTTTGGGTTCCGTACCAAAATTTTTAATTTTGAAAAATTCATTTATATGGTTCAAACAATTGTCCAAGACATTTTTGACAGTATGGAATTTTGTATGATTGAAAAAACCTTCGGTTCGTACTCGATCGCGAGGCGTTTTTGCAAAAGGCATGTCTTGCTGTTTCGGAGGTATGGAGCGCAAAGGGTGTAAAAATGTTTATGCAAATTTTGAGAAAACGGATCATCCGATTAGATTAATTCCATAAACCTTCTGCTTGTGTAGACGGTGTGCAAAAAATGCTTTTACAAAAAATTTCGTAACTTTAAAAATTTTCAAAAAAAAATTAAATTTTCAAAGAAAATTTAAGTTACGAAAAATTCAAATTATCAAAATTTTCATCATTTTCAAAAGAAAAATCTAAATTTTGAGAAATTTCGAAAAATATCAATATTAAAAAAAACGATTTATTGAGATTGAGAAAAATTGAGATAATTTCAAAATTAAACAAAAATCGAATCGAAATTTCAAAAAATTTAAATTTTGAGAAATTTCGAAAAATATCAAAATTTAAAAATTTATTTCTTACAAAAAATTGAGAATATTTCGAAATTTTCAAAAATTTCTAAATTCTCAAAAAAATTAAAAAAATCGTTTTTTTTCAAAAATTCCAAAAATTTTCGATCTCTATAATTTATAATTTTTATAATTTCAAAATTACACAAAAAAATCAAATTAAAAAATATTGAACAAATTTCTTGTAAAGATACACACAAGTTGTTTGTAGAATACGCTCGTCCCCAATTTAATAAATAAATTTAATAAAGCACTTATAAATTTACAGTATGCATTTATAATAATCTGTTTAAAATTATTTAAAACAATTCTTGATTATTTTCATTCTACGGAAAGTTCCAGAAATTTGCCTTCAGGCACGATGCCATGCACCACTAGTTTGTGTCTATTTACCTTAGAACGTGTACATCTCTAGCCATGGCCGTTTGCGTCCTGTGCAAATGTATCAATTCAGGTTTGGATGATCTAATAAAAACTTCCTCTTTGCACCAGGTCGCCTTCCTCCATTCCAAAATGCTGTCTCTTTGTTTTAGGAAAGGCTTATCTTCGATGAATAGACAACCGATGTGGATGGTTGGACAGTTTAGGAAGTCAGACGAAGGATCTATCGGCTCTAGCTGGAATAAAAGACAATTGGTAAAAATTGGACCGCTAAAACTCTTATCTTATATATAAAAATGGAGCTCTCGATCAAATGATTCGGTAAAACTCGAAAACGGCTAAACCGATTTGGCCAGTCTTAGTCTTGAAAAATTCGTGCCAATCCAGAGATGGTCGGAAAGGTGAGATATTATTTCAAAATCGCGTAGAAACTTTACATTTTTAATTTGAACATTTTTGTAGAAGCGTATTTTGAATAAAACAATGGACGGTGGCTAATACATGAAATGTCAAACGATTTTGACAGATGATGTTCAATTACGTTTAATAGGATGTTTTGCGTGAATATTATTTAATCATGACTAAATTTTAGCAAGTAGTTTTGTTTGTAGTTTTATTTATATACAAAAACGTTAGTAAACAGGCCGCAAGTGTTACTAGAGACTCAAAATATCAACTTTTTTTAAATGTCAATATGAAAATGCACTTTTTGGCATATGTTTCTCAACCACGGTGCTCTGCAAGATCTCATTTGTATATATATATATTATATATATATATATATATATATATACATATATATATATATATATATATATATATCTTATATATAAAAATGGAGCTCTCTTTCAAATGTCCGAATAAAACTCGAAAACGGCTGAAGCGATTTGGCCAGTCTTAGTCTTGAAAAATTCGTGCCAATCCAGAGAAAGTCCAAAAGGTGAGAAATTATTTCAAATCCGCGTAGAAACTTTACATTTTTAATTTGAAAATTTTTGTAGAAGCGTAATTTAAATAAAACAATGGACGGTGGCAATTTCGTGAAATGTCAAACGCTTTTGACAGATGATGTTCAATTACGTTTAATAGGATGTTTTACGCGAATATTATTTATTTATGATAAATTGGTAGTAAGTAGTTTTGTTTGTAGTTTTATTTATATACAAAAACTTTAGTAAACGGGCCGCAAGTGTTACTAGAGACTCAAAATATAAACTTTTTTGATATGTTAATATGAAAATGCACTTTTTGGCATATTTTTCTCAAACACGGTGCTCTGAAAGATCTCATTTGAATTTATTTTTTATTTATCTTATTTAAATTCAGAACCTAAATTTGGTATCGATCAAATGGACATTTTGTCGAATAACATTCGTTTCCAGTTATAATTTCCCAGAATTTATCGCAGAATAGATATTAATATATGAAGGTCCGGGATTAAAAAGGTCCACCACCGATGTGCCAAAAATCAGTAAAGTTAAGCATTGTTTAACAACAATATTTGAAAGTAGAGGAAAAAAGATGTATAGCCAGCTACAAACTTGATTTGAAAGTGATAATCTTTGAAATGGGGGAGATAAACGGTAATCTTTGAAAATCCATAATAAAAGTATTTTCTTCCGTTGGTAGTTTTAGCATTAGTTAAAAATGTAATTATTTTGTAAAATACCTTTAAAATTATAATAAGGCTTTAAACCTTTTGCCATCTGCCCGTTACAAGTTACCCCGCATATAGGATAAAAAGGTCTAGATAACAAATTTTTGGAAGACATCAAAAAAGCACATTTCTACAATGATGAAGTAAAAGTCAGTTTACTGAACGTAATCAGATAATTGTTCGTTTGATATGTGTTATTTGTTGTGATATAATTGTTATGGTTTTCACAATATAATTTATATTGGCTCAAAGTCAAATTGGAACTTTGTGCTTCGGCCTGCTCTACATATATACTTTATATTAAATTTACTTTAATACATCGAATGTTACTTGAAACTTTTCAAAAAGCAGATCAAAGAAGAAATATATATTTCATTTTTTATCTCTCCTCGCAGAAATTTGAAAATTTTGTATAAGCTCAGTAGTATTATTTACAATTATACACAAACTCCAGAATCCAAAAAAAATCTGGAAAATTTAAAACGTAATCAATAAGTCGAAAGACCAAGAAAGACTTTGATTGCATTATACCATGTTTCCCATAGAAAGTGTAAAAATCTTCCAGCTTGAATGTATTGACAGAATATAGACAAACTAATGGGGTTTATTGTTTTTATAATACCTCATTGTATATAGCATTCAAACAACACATCCTTATACACTTAAAGTATTAATATTTTTGATTCTCTAGAAATTGTTTAGAATATACCTTACTTAGCAAAACAACGTTTGCCGGGCCAGCTAGTATAACAATAGTTTATATAGTCAATAAATAGTTTTTTATCTCACCTGAGACAACATTACAGGAACATTGCAGTTTTTCCTGACCTTTCCCAGACCACCCTTGTCCTCCAGTTGCCTTTTAGACCAACGACCCAAGCTCACCAGATCGTCAATCGCATCCAAAAACTCCTTATTATGATCATCAGGCTGCACCTCGTCCACCAAAGATTGTCTATTAACATGTCTACGTTTCTCCAAAGTACTCGTCGCTGATTTCATATCAACTTCAGACAACCTTTTACCGACTTTATCATTAGGCGCGTTGGTGCCACACCTGGACACCAAGTTTGGCACGTTTTTCCTCGTTTTGGTGTCGATGGAATCTGTTATGGAGTACGTATCGTTTTCCTTGGCAGACCACCGATCGGAATTTGATTCATTTTCTATGATATCTGATAAATCTCGTTTGGTGACATCAACAGAACGTTCCGTATAAGGCAAGGCGTATTCCACTACATCACCATGTTTATTGACAACGTACTGGTAAGTATCTTCAGTCGACTGATAAGGTAAAGAGTTCTCCCGTTGCAAAAATGCATCAGGCACTTGGTCATCGACATCTCCGTTTGTTGGTGACTCTAAATTATTTTTGTTCCTGGATTTTCGCCTTTGGCTTTTATTGAAACTTCTGTTGAACGTCATGTCGATCCTGGCGAGTTCCCTCGATTTTTTAACAGGATCTGTTTGGGATCTATCGGTGACGTAGATGTTTTCTGCATGTTTGGTTCGATTTTGAGGCGTTGAAAAGTTGATGTCGTTGATTTCTAAATGCTTATACTGCATGTGATGGTTGTCCAAGGAGTAACGGATTTGTTTGGAAGATTCTGATTGTGGTGTGAAGTCTGCTTGACTTGTACGTCTGACATTTGGAGTTTTATCCTGGAAATAGAAAAAATAAGTAGTATTTAACTTCCAGTAGGGTAGTTATAGTAATGGGCCGACAATCGAAAATGAAAATTTTTGCATTTCTCGACGTTTTAGAGGTTTCTGAACATTTTTAAGGGGCATCAGAAACCAAATGGATGTGTGTGTGTGTTTTGTATGTCCGCATATTAACGTCCACGTTTTCGGGCGCACGGATCAACCGATTTGAATGGTGTAAAAAGCATTCGATCCCTATTGATAGGGAGATGTGCTGATTAGATTTTGGCAAAGGCAGGTCCGGCCGTTACGGAGATATGGAGGAAAGAGAGCAGAAAATATATATCGAGTTTTTGAGAGAACGAATCATCCGATTTGTATGAACATTCAGTTCGGAATGATGGAGAAAAGTGGTTATTAGTTTTTGGCAAAGGTAAGCCCAGCGGTTCCTAGTTGCTACTGCTTGGGCGAAGCGACTAGGGCGGATGCAGAGCACATCATCATGGAGTGTAAACGTTGGGAAAAGGGCAGACAAAAACTATGGGAGGAAATAATTAAACAAAAAATATCCCTTCCAATTAATTTTATAACAGATACAAGATTATATGGAGCTCTTTATATTTACATCAAATGTAATAATATAAAATTATAAATGCAATATACATAAAACAATGATATACGTGATATAAGTAATTTAGTATATGGCTAATGTACCAGTTTATAAAGCCAATAAAATAATAAAAAATAAAAAAAAAAAAAAAAAAGCCCAGCGGTTTTGGAGTTACAGAGCTAAATGTGCAAAAAATGGCAGTTTTAGAGTGAACTAAGCGTCCGATTTGAATGATCTAAAAAAAACTCTCTGCTTGTATTGACAAAACAATTGCTTTTGAGGATAAAAAACTATTACAACTGTTTTTTATTTTTTATAAAATATTTTTGTAATTTTGGATTAAAAATTCAAAAAATTACCCAGGCTAAGCACAGTCTAAGCGCCACTCTGGTACAAATGTTTACCCAAGTGCGTTTAGACTGTTTATGTACTAGAGCTCTTTTCCAATTTTGTGAGTATAAAAAAAACTGTGAAAAATGTGAAAATGCCGCCAAGCTAAGCACAGTATAAGTGAAAATGTCGCACAGAATTATTTGCAAATTAGACTGTGACTATACGGGAGCACTTTTCCAATTTTGTGTAAATTAGGCAACTATTTTTTTTAACTTCCCGTAGGGCAAATTTTCCGTCGACGATTTCGGGAACACGGATGAAGCGATTTGAATAATTCAAAAAACACTCGATTCGTATTGATAAGGATACGTGCTGATTAGTTTTTGGCGAAGGCAGGTCTAACCGTTCCGAAGATATGGGGCAAAAAATGCCAAAAACAGTAACTCAGTTTTTAGAGAACGGAGCGTCCGATTTGAATAATTCAAAAAACATTTTACTTGTATTAACAAGATCAAACTTTCATGAAGGCAGGTCTAGCGGTTTCGGAGATCTAACAAAAAAGTAAAAAAAAAAATGCCATTTGGCGGTCAAAAATGAACATTAGACATATGCACATCAAATTATCAGATATTTTATAGAGATTTTAACAATAAGTATAAATTTTGTTTACATTCCTATGGGTTCCGTACCAATGTTTATCCGTTAGACAGCAACGCGGCGCTTACGCGCTTTATATTTTGTCTCTATATGCAGTTAAAGCAGTACAATTTGAAAAAAAGTTCAGATCTTCCAAAATATGTCAAAATAAAGAAAACATTTTTCAAAAAAAAAAAAAAAAAATTAAAAAATAGTAATTTTTTGTCTAATTTAGTTTCTCAAAAATCTAATTTTTCAGAGTAATTGTTTTTTCAAAAATGTTAATCTTTTAAAAAAAAAGATTTTCGGTACGGGAAGTTCCAGCAATTTGCCTTAAGGCACGATGCCATACACCACTAGTTCATTTATCCCTTTATCCCTTTATCCCCTGGTCACTTACCCCCTGGTCGTTTTTCAATCCGACTTGACTGGACCTCCATTCGTTGAATTTCGACAGCTTTCTCAAATAGTCTTCGTCTCTGCTGAAATCGTTTAAATTTCCATTCTGTTTGTTCTGCGGTGAATTAATTTGTTCGAAGCCCAAACTGCTTTTACTTCTTTCGCGGCTGCCGGACCTCAATTCGCTGCAAGATACCACAAAAATCAGAAATTACCACAAAATAATAATAATAATAGATAGGTAATTGGTTGTGGGTTTATTTACAGGCATTTTGCACTTAGCATGGTACCCATAATTAATGGATTATTTTGAATTTAACAGTTGGAAAGATGATTGTTGGAGTCCGGAGGTATGGATGATGGTTATAGACATTTTGGAACTGTCATAAAAAAGTGGAAACAAAAATTGGAATTTGTAGTATTTGTGGATGGGTTATGTTTACGCATTTAATTTCGAGTTATATATATTTATTTATTTATATAACAATACATTTTTTATAATTTTTATTTTTTTATAAAAACAATAAAAAAACTAAATGTCATTTAATTATATTGAAAATTCAAAAATGTCAAAATAAATTATGAGACACGTACGTGTAAATAATCGACTTAATCAATAATGTTTGCGATTTAGCTATTTAGATAAATTTTTCAAGACTTTTTGCTAACAAAGTACTTTAGATCATTATCTTCATCGCTTTTTTTTTATTAATATTTGATTACAAAGAAACCCGACCGATCTTTTCCAAAAAGTAATTAGTCCGATTATCCCAACTAATACATCTTTTGAGTTTTTAAAATCTATTCTGAATGTTGGACCAAAACAAAAAAAAATATATAATGTTATTATAAATAGCAATATTACATTATAAAGTTTATAATAGGTTATATCAATATTATTAACTTCCCGTAGGGTAAGTTATAGTAATCGCAAAAAAATCGAAAATGAAAATTTTTATATATCTTTACGTTTCAAAACCTTCTGAACATTTTGGCATACCTTAGAAAAAATTGATGTATGTGTGTGTGTGTATGTGCGTGTATGTGTGTGTGTGCGGATACAAAATTTGTCGACGATTTCGGGAACACGGATGAAGCGATTTTAATAATTCAAAAAACATTCGATTCGCATTGATAAGGAGACGTGCTTATTACTTTTTGGCGAAGGCAGGTCTGGCCGTTCCGAAGATATGGGGCAAAAAGTGCCAAAAACGTAACTCAGTTTTTAAGAGAACGGAGCGTCCGATTCTAATAATTCAAAAACTTTGTACTTGTATTGACAAGATGAAGAACTGATCAAATTTTCATGAAGGCAGGTCTAGCGGTTTCGGAGATCTAATGAAAAAAGTAAAAAAAATGCCATTTGGCGGTGAAAAATGATCATTAGACATATGCACATCAAATTATCAGATATTTTATAGATATTTTAATAATAAGTATAAATTTTGTTTACATTCCTATGGGTTCCGTGCCAATGCTTATCCGTTAGACGGCGGCGCGGCGCTTACGCGCTTCTATGTTTCGTATCTATGCAGTTAAAGCAGTACGATTGCTTTGAAAAAAAGTTCAGATTTTCCAAAATATTTCAAAAAGTCTTTTTTTTTTAAAAATGAAGTAAATTTTTGTCAAAAAGTTATAGCTTCTCAAAAATCTAATTTTTCAGAGTAAATTTCTTTCAAAAATTTTAATCTTTTAAAAAAAAATTTTTTTTGTTACGGAAAGTTCCAGCAATTTGCTTTAAGGCACGATGCCATGCGCCCCACTAGTATTTATATTTATATGTAATAATTTATATTTATATTTATATTTTTATGTAATAATCTATATTTGTATTTGTATTTATATTTACATCTATATTTATATAAAATCTATGTGAAATAGTGCTTTTATAAATATTAGTATACTTTATACACAAACATTAATCGCATAATAAATTAAATTGCTAAATATTAGTTGTATTTTAATAAACATTTTTAAAATTAGAAATTTGTAAACTATATCGATTTTAGTTTTATTGATTTTTTATTTTATTTTCATTCATTACACTTTTTGAACTTTAAAACAAAATTCTTTCGTGCAATTTTTAACTTTTTAACAAAAAAAATCCCTCCCAACTAATTTTATAATATTGTTGACAAAAAAAGAATATATTGTGCGCTATAAAAATAAATAAATAAAATAAAATTGTAAAGTTGATTGATAAAATGTATATGACTAATGTATATGACTACTTGTATACAAAGTCAAAAAAAGAAAATCTAACCATTAAATTTAAAAAAAAAATTAAAAAAAATTATTAATAGTTTATATGTATATATATATATATATATATATATATATATATATATATATTTATGTATAGTATTTTTTTCTATAACAATTTCATATAATAAGGTTTTAGTTCGTCCCTGTAAAGTGTCGCAAAATATTTAGGTAGATCCCTTTTATATTCAGAGGTATAAAACAAGTTGCAAAATATTAACAAAGGGATTATAAAGCTTGTTTGATACAAAAACTAACTGTGAATTCGCATTTCAATATAAAAAGGTCGATCAGGTTTAGGTAATAAATAAACCTAACGACTATTTAATTCTTAGAAAATTCACCCTTGGCAAAATTTATTCTAGAAATTGTAATATAAAGTTTGATAATTTTAAAAACCAGCTTCCAAAAGATAATTATAAAAAACTAAAAGTCCTATATTAAAAATTAAAAGTTATCATTTAAATATAAATAGATACTAAAAGAATTATTTCTCATAACAGTTGAATTGCTTAAAAAATTGAATTGGAAATTAACGTTACTGGTAGTTTTTTAATAGAAAGAACAAAATTGAAATACAATCGAAACTTTACAAACAAAAAATTAATATTAATATAATTTAGTATCCAAAATTCGTAAAGAATTGAAATTTAGTACTGATACAACTACCAAATAAAATATTAGAATATTAACAAGAATTGTAAAATTTTTTCAATACTTTTAAATTCAGTAAAAGTTATTTAAATCATGCATAAAATTCGCATTAGCCTTACCAGTTAATTAAAGCAAACATTTAAATTAAGATAATTAAAATATCAAAATTATATTTTTTTTCCTTCTGCACTGTATTTAATTTAGTACAGGAAACTGCACAATCAAAATGTTTTATTATGCCAACAATGTTTTTTTCCTGCCAAACAATAAATGGGATAGGCCTGTGCATTCGGCTATTGATCACAAAAAGTCGATACGATTAGTTAATTTATCGATACACAATGATAAATGATGAATAAATGAAAGCGGCGGATATATTATATATAGAAAAAAATGTTACGACAACGGAAGAAAAGGCAGTTAAAAAAGTAATTTGTATATATATTACGAGTAGATTGGATTATATTTTTATTTAGTTTTAATAGCAACGTTCTATTTGTTGTTAAATAATTTTGCAGGAGCTCTAAATTATGTAATCCAATATTTTTAGTTTTTTATTTCTAGTAAAGTTATCTAAAATGATTTTTTTTATATATAGAGGTTTCTGAACATTTTGGCATACCTTAGAAAAAATGTGTGTATGCGTGCGCGTGTGTGTGTGTTTATGTATGTGCGGATACAGTTTTTCATCGACGATTTTGGGAACACGGATCGACCGATTTGAATAATTCAAAGAACATCCCATTCCTAATGATGAGGAGATGTGTTGATATTTTTTTGGGAAAGGCAGGTCTAGCCGTTTTGGAGATACGGGGCAAAAAGTGCCAAAAATCATAACTCAGTTTTTGAGAGAACATAGCGTCAGATTTGAATATTTCAAAAAACATTTTACTTGTATTAACAAGATGAAGAACTGATCAAATTTTCATAAAGGCAGGTCTAGCGGTTTCGGAGATCGAGTATAAAAAGTAGAGAAAAATGTCATTTAGCAAACAAAAATAATCATTAGACATATGCACATCGAATTATCATATATTTTATATATAAATAAAATATATATATGAGAAGGTATAAATTTTGTTTTCTATTGATTCCGTACCAATGTTTTTTCCGTTAGACTGCGACGAGGCGCTTACGCGCTTTGCTTTCAAAAGGCTTTTTAAAAAAAAATATTTTTGGTACGGAAAGTTCCAGCAATTTTCCTTAAAGCACGATGCCATGTGCTACTAGTTTTTTTCATATTGAAAAATTTACTAATATGTAAGTTCAAAATTTTTATTTTTTCTAATGAAATATTAATCTTCAAAGATTTGTGATAAATATTTCAACCTATTTTGAGAATAATGAGAATTCAACAAAATTTTTAAAATTCCTAAAGATTGATTTTAGTACAAAGTTCAAAATTCCCAAAAATTTTCGTAATATAAAACAAATCAATTTCATCAAACATTTCAAAAAATTAAAAATCCCTTCAATAATAATTACATTAAAAAAAATTTAATATGTAAATTCAATTAATTTATTTTTCCTGATAAAATATTATTCTTCAAAATTTTGCATAAATTTTTCAACCTATTTTGAGAATCTAATAGATTTTTTTTTAAAATTGTTAAAAATTAATTTTAATACTAATTTCGAATTTAATACAAGTCAATTTTAATGAATAATAACTTTTTTACTTAAATATTAATAAACACTTTATAATTTGAAAACAATATTTTGATATTGCATTTTGATATCTTATGAAAATTATCAAAATATAAAAGTCTATGAAAAACAAATAATATTTATATTGAATAGCATAATATTTGATAATTATTCCAAAAACATATTACTCACCTATTATCGTTCTAATTATTCTAAATCGAATTATAAACAATGACTAATTATAGCAAACACTTTAGGAACAAAATATTATTGGAGTTGTTTTAAGTTTATAATTATAATAAGTATTTATAACTATTTTTTTCATGAAATATTTTTTTTAATTTAAATATTTATACAAATCTATAAATAATAAATTCAAGTAAAAATCAGCATAGGTTCCTTTTGATTTTGTTGGACAAATTTTTACTTTTAAACCATAATTTTAACAATAATATTTTTGGTTTTAAATAAATAAAAATTAAATGTATAAATAATAAATTTCATTATAAACCGGTTTTATGTTTCTATGAACAGAAATTCCATAAATATTTATAACTCATTTCAGATTGATTTTTAGTTCACAACTGTCAAAATTTATAGAAATGTTTAAAATTTCAATATTTCCAATATGAATTAAAATTTCCAATATATCCTATAACATAAATTGGATATAAATGCACAAGGTGAACAAATCAAATTTAAAATCGGTTCAGCAGTTTAGGAGACTATTC